CGCTTTTTCTTAATTTTCTTAAATTTTACACCACCAAGTCTGAGATGAAAAAATTTATTGAAAGAATGGTTTGCAACAATTGCTCTTGCAGAAACAGCGAATCTTTAGTTTTTTTAAGAAAAAAGTTTTCTCCTGAGGTAAATTGATTGTCTCTAAATTTCTTACTCTTCTTACTTATTTTGGTAGTGAAACAACTAAAGTCTTAGGCAAAATTGAATTTTTGAAACCACACTGTTCGTGCGGCATCAATATAGCAAACTTATTCAATATTAAGCGCGTTCTTCCAGCCTTAGCTGGTCCTGTTGTTTGAAATGTTTTTAAATGTTTTTATTGTATCGCAAGTGGCGCGAAGCTCGACTTCGCCTCCGAGTAAAACTTTTTTCTCGTACTAATCTCACTAATCTGAGAAAGAGTATACAACAAAAAATTGGTAGTAATTTCTTTTCGTGAACGACTACAATCTTGTGTTTCTAGAATTTTTCTAGAATTTTTCTTTGTCTTATCTAAATGTTTTTTTTTGAAATTTTGTCCGTTTTCCACCTGCAATTAAAATTTCAACCAAAGGAAAAAAATGTAGAAATTTAACCTGCTTATCTCGTTTCAATCTATTTTCTGTATCAAAAGCAGCATGGCCTTAGGAGAAGTTCACTATTGAATTTTATTAGCATTTTTGAGAATTTTTGACGAAACGAACCCTGCCAAATCTGAGATTAAGGAATCAATCAAAAAATAGGTTGGGGAAAATTTTTCGCATAAACCGCAAATCCGTAGGAAAATTGATATAAATATTTCAAAAATCCATATTTAAATCGTTTTTGTGTAATCTTAAACTACTCCCGAAATTCACTCTCCCACATTCGAGTTTAAGGGTTCACACAAAAAAAACAAATCAAGCATTTGGTTTTTTTGAACATTTTCTTGGATTTTTTTTTTAACGCTGAATTAATCTGATCGATGAAACTGGTCTGCATATGGATTTTTCACCTGCCACAAAAATAAGAGCAAAAATTGGGCACGGAAATGTTGAAACTGTAAATGAGTCAACCGGGGGGCTTGTTGAGGTTTTTAAGTGAGCCGTTTAGCATGTGCAATTGGATTAGTTCTACATTGATTTTTTTAATTGTCAACTGTGATTTAAACTGCAAACCTTCAAGACATAAGTGCAAATAACGAACGGTTACAAATTTTGCAACTTTGGAAAACGGTTAATTTATAGTTTTTGCAAAACATCGTTTTTTCAGTTTAAAATGGTACACATTACTGATTCATAATCTTATTTCGTAATTTTTTTGACCGAAAGTTTTCATAATTCATAGATTTCGAAACCGATAAATGAAACAAGATTGTTCGATTTTCATTTCTATGTTTGACTTTCTTTCTATATTGAGATCCCCGTCAAAATACAGTTTTCTGTTGCTAAACCTAAAATTCATTAATTAATTAAAGATAAATTCTCAATATTCTTCCTATTGTAAACTTTTTTTGAGATGAAAACGTTGCAAAAAAAACAAACTTCAAAAAATAATTCAAAGTTTTTGTGTTCAAAAAATTTTCCGAAAGTTTGATTGGTGATTTAAATTATCTCAAACTGAAGATGATTTATTTGACTGTCCAAAGATACTACTTTCAAACAATTGTCTCGTGCATGCATTTTTATGTTCAGTAAAATAAAAAAAATTAACGTATTAATTGACTTGCGATGGAAAAATAAAGCCAAAAATGCCATCTCAGTAGAATTTCAGTTTTTCACGTTCAAAACAGTTTTTCACCATTTCAGTTTTTCACGTTCAAAACGTAGAAATTGTTGTTAAAGACTGAGACTGTAAAAAAACTAAAACTGAATATAGTGTAACGCTGTTTGTTTTAATTTAAGGATTTTTGTTTCAAAGTTAAAACTCAATTTGGGAGATGAGTTGTAATAATTAACTCATGTGCCTAATGGTAGTTAAAAATTGCTTCAAATAGAGTTTTTTATTGATTAAAAGACATTTCACATGATTTGATGTGGCAACGCATTTTTTCGCCCCAGTAAAGCTTTTTTAGCAAAAATAAACCGCTCGGAACACAAAACTCTGTTCATAGATTCAGGGCAGAGCACCTCATGTTCGGAATAACCGTTAATGGGCGATATTTTGGGTCAAATAGCATGCCTCAAAATAGCATGCATTGATATGTGAAATTATAACCGAGCTGAGAAAATAGAAGATTTCCCATGCAATAATTATCCTAAAACTGAACCAACTGACGTTTTACAACTCAAAATTGAAACTTTTTGATTAATTTCTTCCGAAAAAAACTTTAAAAAGACATTCTTTCAGGGATAATTAGCATGGTGGTAAAATTTTCACTTCGCGAGCGTCCAATTGTGTACTCAATCCCCTGTCATGCAATAATAGTGCGTGAGGTTGAGCTCTAGCTTCACCGTTCAACACAGCCTGACTAATTACGGCATTGCATTTAGTATGAACTTAGGATAGAATGTCTTCAGAATATAATTCGAAAATAAATTTTTAATCAATAATTTTTCCAAAACTTTGATTGGTGATTCATTTTATCTCATACTAAAATTTATTCAATTGACTGCCGAAAGATACTGCTTTCAAAGAATTATCTCGTGCATTTTTATGTTCAGAAAGAAAATTTTTTTTCTACTTGACATAGTTATGTACTTCTAGTTTTTTTAACGCATCAAAAGACTTGCGATACAAAAATATAGCCAAAAGTGCCATCATAAAAAAGAAAAGCTTTAAAATAATTTTTCAGTTCTTCACGTTCAAAACGTAAAACTCGTTGTTAAAGACTGTAAAGAAATTCAATACTGAAATAAATAGAACGCTATTTGTTTCAACTTGAAATCTTTCCATTCAAATTCAGTTTGGGAAGGGTGTAATAGTTAATTAATACGCCTAATAGTAGTTGCTAGTTGCTTCAATGAGCAATTTTTGTTCATTAAAACACAATTTAGTCAAAATTTTGAAAATCATATGATTTGATATGGCAAAGCACTTTTTTCGCCCAATAAAACTTTTTTTAGCCCAATTAAACCGCTCGGAACAATAAAGACTGTTTCTGTTTCTACAATCGGGGCAAAGCACTTAATGTTCGGAATACCCCTTGAAAAATCTCAAGTAGATTTGCTAAAAAGTTTCAAAAAGCAAAGATTACTGAACCGTTATTTTTCGTCCCCCAGCTGCCATTATGAAAAAAGCAGTGGTAAAGTTTGAGTGATGCAGGGATCTCTTGTGATCAATTAGCTCGCCTTTGGCACTGTTTTGATTGCATAGATGTTTCACGTTACTCTATCAAAATAATATGCAGATACTTCAAAGCGCGTGTAAATTTGTCCAGAAAGCTGTTATTCAAACGCCGGCAATTTTCTCTACAAAATTACTGAAAAAGTTTTTTTTCGCATTTGAAATTGGGAATTACATATCTTTTTGGAGTATAAAAGTTTTAATTCAAAAATTTTTGTTTAGAACGCTGAATTAGTCTGAAAGATTAAACTAGTCTGCATTCGGATTTTCACCTTCCCCAGAAAAAAAAACAACAATTAGGCAGGAAATTGTAGAAACTGCAAATGAGTCATACGCAGGGCATGTAGAAGTTATTAAGTGAGCCAATTAGCATGCGCAATTGAAATAATTCCAAATTGATTTTTTAATGCCATCTGTGATTTCAATTGCAAATTTTCAAGGCATAATTGAAAAAAATGAACGGTTAGAAATAATTTAGCAACTTAAGAAAAACGTTAATTTACAGTTTTTGCGAAACATGATTTTTTTCAATTAAAAAAAAACACATTGCTGATTCATAATTTTATTTCGTAAGAATTTTGACTAAAAATTTAGATATTTCATAGTTTTCGAAACAAATAATTGACTATTTTTTTTCGATTTTCCTTTCTACGCTTGACTTTTTTCTGATATTTAGATCCCCCTCGAAGTACATTGTTCTGCTGTTATACCTAAAAATCATCAATTTATAAAACATAACTTCTCAATATTCCTCCTATTTAAAATTTTATTAGATGGAAATTTTGCATTAGAGAGTCTTCAAAATCTAAAAGATTGATATGCGAAATTATAACCTAGCTGAGAAAATAGGAGATTTCCCATGCGTTAATTATCCTAAAACTGACCCAATTGACATTTTGCAAACTCGTCTAATTATTTTTGAAAAATTCCTAGGTGAAAATTGTAGGTGAATTGTGAACAATTGGCTGCAATTTCTTTCAGATTATATCATTTTTTTTGTCAAAAACTGCTTTTCAAAACGTTGAAGTCAAAAATGAATTTTCCAAAAAGTAATTTAGAAAAACATTCTTTCAGGGAAAATTAGCATGGTACTTCGAGATCGTCAAATTGTGTACTCAATCCCCTGTCATGGCAATAACAGTGTGTGAGGTCGAGCTCTCACTTGACCTTTAGATTGACCGTTCAACACAGCCTGACAAATTCCTGCTGCAATTGTGGTACCACGTAAAAGTTATAGACCCAAAAAAACGACCTTGAGTAAAAAAGAGCTCGACTCAGCAATTTAACTCTGGAATGTGGGGAACTAAGAGAAACTATTTTTTTTTTCATTAATTTTGCCCGCGGTGGCTTCAGCAATGATGTTTAATACGTTCTTGAAGATTGTTGTCATACTTTTTTTCAAGATTGTTGTCAAAATCTTTTTCTAAGCCGACATGGAGTGCTTTTCGTTTCCATTCAACTGTTTATTTTAGAGTTTGTTTAAAAAAACTTGAAATATGTTAGTTTGAAGGAGGTGGGAGCGGGAGCGCGCCGAAAAAATGCAATATTTTGATTATTTTTTTCCAAAATTAGGAAATATATGGAGTTTCAGTTAAAGCCCACGTCAACTAGCAAGTTGGCGCTGCTATGCAGTGCCTTTTCCCCCAATGGTATGGACGCTCCAACAACAGGCCAGCATTGCCAGCCAATGTATAGTTTAAGTAACTCCTGTAGTATATAGCCAAACTTCATTCGCGCAATAGCTCTTTAAAAGAGCAGAATATTGGGTTGCATATTTCACAATTCAGGAAGGTTCTTCCAACTCTCAATTCGTTCCTGTTGCATTTAAACTGTGCTAACTTGAAGACAGCCTTCACAATATTACATAATTGCTATCAAGTGTGGTCTCGAATAGTTCTTCGCAGAGTCCATCTACCGATTAATTAGAGACAGGGGAAGAAAAATTGGGATTAACCCACTGGCAAAGCGGCTTAGAAGTTTTTAGCATTATTCGACCCCCCGGTCATGCAGAAGAGTAACATTCGCATGGTGTTGTTGGTGGCAGGGGGAGCAGGGGTCGCCCTGAGCCAGTTCGCCTCCGAGTACAGAGAAATAACAGGGGAGAGACTGTTGGACCCCCCTGTCACAGAAGAACGGGTGAGGATCAGGGGCGGATTACGGGGGAAGGGGCATGCCCCTGCCGACCCAAAGGAATTTTTAAGAAATCCATTTTTGGCCGACCGACCCTAAAATTTTTCTAAGGGCGCCTCTGGCGCCAATACATACTAACTGTGAGGGGGAGTGCGTGCAAAAAAAAACGTGTTTTTTTTTCGTCAACATTTTCCAAAAAGTGCCCAAAAAGCGTCTTTTTAGTGCTCTAGGAGAGCTCGGAAAATCAATTTGGTCGATCTAAAAAAAAGGTAGTCAAAATTTTCCAAAGTTTTTTTGAAAATCAGCCCCCCCTCGAGAAAATCCTAGATCCACCCCTGATGAGGATAACAGTTTGCTCAGATCACAATTGCAATTAAGTCAGATCTAGGATTTTCTCGAGGGGGTGGTTTTTCGAAAAAATTTAGAACATTTGGTCAACTTTTTTTTAGGTAGACCAAATTGATTTTCTGAGCTCTCCCAAATCACTATAATGACCCTATTTTGACAAACAATTTCTAGGCAGCAGGGAAGTTTTTGAAAAAACAGGCCAGAAAAGGCATTTATAGGCATTTTATAGAGAATGTTGACCAAAAATTAGGTTTTTTCGGCGCAATCCGCCCTCAAATTTAGTATATATTGGCGCAAAAGGCGCCCTTAGAAAAGTTTTAGGGTCTGTCAGCCAAAAATGGATAATTCAAAATAGTACAAAGGGGGGACCCTTTGGGTCGGCATGGGGGTTGAATCTCTGAGAGGGAAAGGAGCGTCCGTCTCCCCCCCCCCCCCTTGAATCCGCCCTGATAGCAACACATAATTTAAAAATAAAAACATTTTTTTTTCTAATTTCAGCCCGATTTTTTTCTAATTTCTATTTTTTTTATCTTTTCTAATTTCAGCCCATTTCCATTTTCTGAAATGTAACATGGCTGATTATGTTTCTGATCAGTGGCCACTTATGCATCACCAGGAGAAGCTCAGCTCTGGTTCAGTCACGACCGCCCACGCGCTCGTTCTGAGATGGTACTTGGTAGGGCTGTCAATTACACCTATTACGCTAGCAAAATTATATACGTCGGACAAAACGCTTGCTAGGAATAAAGGGTCCTTTCTACTTTCGATCTAAGAAAGTAAATCTAAAATTCGCTGAGAAATATTTTATTAGAAAAGAAGTTAGTATGAATTTACAGCAAGTTGCCTTTTGACTCAATATTTATTTTAGGGGTGAGATTGGAGATATTTTATAGAGAATGGTTGGGGTGGTTAAAGAGAGTGGTGTTGGTGTTAGAAGAGAAATTGTTGGGATATTAGAGAGGGATGTTGTGGTGTTAGAAGAGAAATTGTTGGGAATGAATTCCCGTAGTTTTGAGCTTCTATTTATACTCAAATGGTGAAATCACGCCACTTTTGGTATCAAATGAGAAGTTACTTCCTAACTTCGTATTCTCTATTCGTACATTCGTATTTTACGAGAAGAGTGTTTCGTATGCTCGAACTTTACGAGAGGAATTGTTAATATTCGCATTGAATGAGAATAGTCGTTTCAATTCTCAATGCTTAAAGCGTTATACGAATTATTCCAATAGCATTTCCCTTCCTTTTGCAAGGGAATAAAAACATATTTCTTTTGTGGTGGCGGCGGCGTCACATTTTGTGAACGCAATAAAATAATTCATGTTTCTGTTTCTATTTGAAATCAGAACATATCCATCCTCCTATTTGGAGAGGAAAAAAACTAAAACTTTCATTTTTTTACTTTCACTTGAATAGTGGGGTAATTGTTGATCGATCGAAGCTTTTTCTTTCAATCTCATAAAAATGGTTCAATAGTTTGTTGGTATTACAGGTAGCAGATGTTATTGAACAACTGATACTTTGAGTCAGGCTTGAATGAATATAAATACATCAGTTACATTTATCAATCAAAATAGAGTTTACACAACCAATAGATTTAACTATAAATTTAAATACATCAAAATTATTTGTTTCTCAAAAATTTGCACGTCAGTTTAATATTATCATCATTGAACATTCTTTTTCCGAAGTCTCCTTTTGTCCTGAAATATGTGAAGTGGATGTTCATATGCGTAATAAGGGGAGGACTGGTTCATACAAAGGGGGTATTTTTTGTTTTTTTTTTTGTTTTTCATAAAAGTCAAAATTGTTGAGAAAGGCAAAACTAATAGCTGTACTACATAGCTATATAAAGCGAAAGAATAAATGTTTAAATGAAAGGATAAATTTGTACAATTTTCCTTCCAACCGGGCTATAAGTTGGTGATTTTTTGTTTTCAAATTGTGGATTTGCTTTTTCAGCTCCCGGATTTGATGCGTTTCATGTATATGACTGCGCTAAATTTGCTCAGTATAGTCATCTAACTGGGGGGTTTGTAATTTTGCCGTCAGATATTTTGCTGGGACATACATTTTTTGATATTCAAGAAGGGAATTAGATATGGAGTACATTTTTTTTATAGGGTGATCGGCTTCTAATTTAAAACGATTGATTAATGGACTCAAAGTATAATTCAGATCCATATCGAAGCCGGGATTGCTGTTAGAATTAATATATCGTTCACTTTCTAACTGAATATGTAATTTAGTTTTTAATTCAGTGGGGTGTAAGGGCTGTCGCCTAATGGTCATTGGATATTGAGAAAGTGATACCGGCGTATTTGCCGTTAGTATCTTATATGGTCTCACTATCTGGGTCCGTTTTTTAAATTTGGAAATTGAGGGAACCAGGGGTATTTTGAAATCAGGTGGTGAAACTTTTAGGGGTGGTGGCTTTGATGCTGTAGTTATTGGGACAGCTGAATTGGTTTGAATTAGTGGCTCAACGAAGAATCGTGTTGAGGTTGGCTTTGCAGTGGGGGTTGTAGTAGTAGAAACAGTTGGTTGTTGAGTGAGTGCTCAAAGCTGCGAGTCCAGTGGATCAGTTGATGGCAGGAGTGAGAGAAGATCCTCAAAATCTCTCAAGTCGTCATCAAGTGATGCGTCCATAGTTGAATCAGTTGGTATATCCTAGAACATTAGAATTTTTTTTTATTAGACTGGGTTTGTTGGATGATCCAAGTTTTGAGTTTTTCTCTCAAAATTTGATAATTGGATGTTAGGATACATGCGATCCTGGTTTATTTTATCAATTTCCTCTAAAAGAGGGGCTTGTATTTTTTGATCACATTCTTGTTCTATTTTTTCAGTTTGCTCATCTTGAGTGAAAATTGAGGTCACTATGGAAGTGAAAAGTATATTGTATGAGGCGGCAAGCAATACTTTGCCAAAGTGTAGTGAGCGGCCGGTGATTTTGTGAATATGCATAGCCTTTATTATGAATACTAGGCAATCTAGTATGAATTTCACAAATAGAAAAGAGGCGAAAACTATTCCGCATTTTTCTAAATAGTATTGTACTTTACCTAATATACGGGTGTATTCGTTTTTCCAAAAATTTGGAGAGATGAGATAGCCCAAGTATGTTGTTTGGGAAGAGCCTAGTGGGCTCTATGAGTCCGTGAAAAGAAATTTTTTAGCATTTAGAAAGGACCTGGATACTTTTTGCAGTATTCCTTTCATCTCTGAATTATCGGAAATCATATTCCAGAATTTTTGCATTTGAGCATAAGTGTAGATTGAAACGCCTTGGCTAGAGGCTAAAGAATGCTTAATCTTTTGAATTATCTCTTTTGGTTTAAAGAGATATGGTCCTGTAACCCTTGTAACTTGAGGGGTTAATTCAATCCAGGACTTATCATCATCAACATCTAGTTGAAAGAGATTTGAATGTTTGTCGGAGCAGTCTTGTAGATCTGCCGATTGTAAAGTTTGTCGCGTAATTGGATCGACGCACTAACATTTTCCTTATACATAATGGGAATGCAATTATAGCATTCATCCATTAATTGCAAAGGTGAATAAAATTTCGGACAATGGTAGAGCCAGGCAACGTTGCCATTGGTCTCTAAGAACAAAGAGCGGTTCTGAGTTAAAATATAGCCAGCCAAACGTGGGCTTTCAAGTGAAAGCATTAAAGTATTTAATATTGAGGAGCGTTCTAGTTCACATTGATTTTGCAGAAGGGCTAACTCGGCCTTTCTGAGCATGTAGAAGCTATAAAAAAGAATATAGTCCAATTTGGTTCCTATATGAGCTTCGTAGTCAATTTGATGAGTTGAAAGTTTGAGTGGCGGCAAATCATCAGTTGTTGTGAGAAAAGTAGAATTTGGTTGGCCGGCATTATGAATAGTTCCCGTTTCTGGGGTCGGTTTAACTTGGATTCCAGTATCCATATTGAAAACTTCAGTGTATGCAATAAAAAATGAATCATATGAAGTTGGATACACTATTCTGGGATGACCACAAAGAGATTGCGGTTTTTTCATCACCTGTTGCATGAATTTTTGAGAATCACTCTTTTGGGTAGAATGAATAGACGGGCTAGAATTGCCTTTAATTGTATAGTATGATTCTTCGTTTTGAATCATTTTAGCCGGGAATCTGTTTGAAACAGTGAAAATACAATTTTTGGGTTCTTTCCAAGTATAAGCAAAAGAGTCTAAGGATGTTTTTTCACATCCATTTATAGACACTGGACAGGGCAAAGGAATGTTTTGCCAATTATTGAATGTTCCATCTTTGAGGTTAACAGTCAGAGTTACATTTTGCATGTAAGTTTCAAAAGAGTCCAGTTTAATCCCAGAACCGCCATCACATTCATTATGATGTTTGCCGTCAACTTTGCCAGCATAGGCTTTAGTTATTGTTTTAACATTAAATTTGAAAGGAATATTTCCAATACTAGCATAGCCTAGGTTAAGATAGCCTCTGTCGGCGGCCGATTTACATTGATTGGCAGATAAATGGAGATCAGTAGTGATCATAACTTGTCGAGCGTCGATACCACTCGAACCAAAAGAATCGCAGAACCAGCGCATTGATTGGTGTTTCATTCGACACATTTTCGCATTTATTTTTGTGCGATAATGTTTTTGATATAGAGTAACATAAGCATG